TCTCGCGCTTCCTGTTCCCGGGTGCGTGGTCACGCGACTCCCGCGTGCCGCATGCCTATGCCTCGTGCGTGTTGCCCTCGCGCAGCCTTCGCGAGTCCACTTAGCACGGTCCGGGGGATCGTTCCAACCTTTATCGCGCCACTTCTCATGACTCGAGTGCGGCTCTTCCTCGGGCTTGGATGGGTCGATGACCACATCCGCATTACCGCGGTGCAGCGAGGGCTGGTGTCGCGGCGCGGGGCCTGGGCAGCTCGCACTTCTTCACGTCTCGGGCTCGTTTGGGCTCGTCCGAACTCGGAATTGAGTTTCGTGTTTTTCTGTGTTTTCCCAACAAACTCCTCTATCTACTAATGCTTACCCAACTGACTTTTTCCCAAAATTCGATCTTCCCGAAGCTTTCGACCTACACACCATAAACGAAGAAAAATCGAAAAAACATACGGAAAACACATAGAAAACCAAAATGGAGATAAACACACAATAAACTATAAGAACGAATAAAAACCAACGAAAAGACCTAAAACGAGGGAAAAAGAAAGATAAAATAAGTACGAAAAATTTAACAAAAATGGGACAAATATATTTCTCAACAAGCCTTACATTTATACAGACTTAAACATGGCTACCGGTGAAAAAACTTACTCTTAATAAGACCACATTCTTTCTGAGTTTGTTATTTCACAACAAGCCTTGTACTAAAGTCTTCACTTATAGATTTCGTCCGATAGCCCATATGCTACTAGGTAATTCTATAAGAACCCAGATCTGATTAGAGTCCACAACTCCAAATCAGAAATCATTAAAACTTTGCTAAGTTTCTACATCTTTGTCTTAGATCTACTCATTGTATAACTAGGGATGAATTCAAGTTTACTAGAGACTAAGTCCGGGACTTTTCTCAAAACATGAGTACCATGATCTCGTGATTAGTAGAGATCGATTCCAATAACTCTCTCATTGTCATGATTTCATGGAGTTGTTTTGCAACCCTCCCACTACAACGAGGTTCCCTCTGCTAAAGTGTACAGCACAAAATACGTGTTGCAATCTTTATTGTGGTATCACATTTGTGCACTTGGTAACAAAGTTGAACATTCACCTTTATCTTTCCTCAAAATAATTCTACAAATGGGTTTTGTGGTTTATTACTTAGTATTCCTCTAAAAATCAGGCATTCATACTAACGATCACCTTTTGACTTTTAGTACTATAAAATAATCCACTCATTTCTCGTTACTATGAAGTATCCCATAAATAGCCTATTTTCCGAACAACCTTTCCAATCCTATTAGTATAATCCTTTCCAGCACGTGTGCCGAAACACTCTGAATCTGAATGTATTCCTGACTAGGCCTATGCCTTCGTCTACAATTCATTCAGAGTAATGACTACTAACTTATATGGAACTATGTTCAGAACTTACCCTGCTATTTGCACAACTCCAATACGGAAAAAAATGAAATTCCTAATAACTCATCCTTGACATAACCAATCTACTTAAAAGACATTTTCCTTCGTCAAGTTACATCGTCCCGTTCCGATGAACTAGATGCAACCTGTTGAGACCATATCTCAACATCCAACAAGTATTTCCATGATTTTCCAAAAGGTATTAGTCACTACGATTTCGATCGTAATGCCACTGATACATTAATCTCGACATTTTACCATAACTGCCATTGCACTCTTTCGATGTACTTAAGCTTATGGAATGTCACTTAATGTACCTTGTTTTGAACAAATTTTTTCAAGGAAAAATATTCAAAACTACGTTTTTGTTCTAAAAATCATAGGACTTCACAAATTGGATGAATTAATCCTAACATATGTTTGACTTCTAAATCCCATGACCTACAAAAGGTCATTTATGTCATTTTAGCTACTAAGTATAATTCCTAGGTCAGATAGTTTCATCCATTCCCAAAGAACCCATAAGTTCAGTGGCTATCCACCTTTGAATTCTACTATTGCTAAAATTCCCAAATACTAGATACCAAAAATAATGTATGATTCGTTCATTGAAGGACCTTTCTTCTTATTGATTCTAGTCGATGTGCTATTTATTTCATCAACTGCACCTATGAGATATTTTGGCTCATTGAGTTCATAAATTGTCTACCCACATACCAAATGGATAAAACGTCACATTTTTACCCATACCCAATTTAGAAACTGAACACGAGTTCTTTCTAAGCTTGGTACGTGAAGACAATTACTCATAAATCAAAATTTCTATAGAAAACTCATTCTGAGATATTTTTGGTTCCTTTGAGTTTACACACTGTCCTACCTTGTACTAAATGATAAAACGTTTTGCTTTTCAAACCAGCAAACGTAACATCCATATAGAATTTAGAAACTGAACGTGAGTTCTTTCTAAGACTTGGCACATAAAGACAATTACTCATACACCAAAATTTCTATAGAGAACTCCCACTGCAATAGTCGCCACTTTCGTAGCAAAACCCATTCTAGATGGTAATCTACCTATCACATGTCGATTGATTTCCTGGAACATAATTAGTGGTTACGTATCTATTCACCAGGTGCTGATAGATAACACCATTAAAAATGTTTCGACTTTCTAGTGAATTAAGATTTACCTTTCTTGTCTTAAGAATAGGACAGTTCATCTTCCTATGTCCATTTTGCTTAGACCGGATGCACTCGTCCTTTGACTTGTATTCCTTAGCAAAATAAGACATTATCCAAGTTCTATTTCTAAACATATTTGAACAAGTAAATTATCTTTGAGAATTACGGACAACGGATTAAAAGACATTTTGAATTCCTGGGATCATGCAAACATAGTCTTTACTCAGTCAAGTGTTTTTTAATTTAACATCAAATATTGATCCCTTCAAAACAACATTTGAATATATTCACCGGCACCTCAAAACACCAAATCCCCGCAAGCCACGGAGTGTGGACGTCTACGGTTCAAGCCATCCCAAGAGGAGGGATTAATCCCATTAATTAATATACCATCTAAACAGTACTTAATTAATAGTAGGTTCATCTTTTGGCCAGCGCACTGAGTCAATGTGTCCCTTGTTCTTTATTAGAAGAAGGATCTTATTGAAATAAAAACAACCTTTTCCTGTGGGAATATCGTTTTAATTTGCACTTTAAGTGTAACCCATTAATTGTACCAAGTTCACTACCAAAATAATACGTTCATCTGTGGATGACCCGTACTCTTTTGTAATAGCTCGCTATTACCATCCCGAAGGAGATCTGTCCTTGTGAACTGTGAAATAAAACGTTCTGTGGGCTCAATTTAAATCACTTCACTAACAAACCTATAATGGAGGCCTTGGATGTAATTTATTTCAACCCATTACACACTTAATGTAATCTTTAATTTAAGGGATTTTCCTAGACATGCTCCTATTTCAATTTGCACATAAAACAAATAAGGACATGCATAATTAATAAGCAATAATAAACTAGGAACTATAATCCAACTACTATGGCCATTAATTAATCTCTAATATTACAGAGAAACACAATCCTGTCCTTGTTTGAATGTGTTTTCCGTTTCAGGAATTGGAACACCCTTTCGCAGTGACTCCCACTCTCCATTCTGAATAGGTCATCTCCGGGAAAGTCGCCATTGGATCACCACCATGGCATCCGTCTGCATGTTCATCGCCTCGCCTCGTCGAGGTTGGTCCACGTCCGTCGGATCAACAATGAATAATATAATACAACAATTACATAATTCATCCTATGACCCACGCAAGAGTCGTACATGAGTTTTCTATGCAAGCAGTAAACTATGCGGTGTCCCACCGCGCGAATAATTTATTACAAGCATTCACCAACCCAAAAACTCCTCGACATGTCCGAGGCTTATAAAACGACATACATGAATTAAAAGCACACATACATATGGGCCATAATAGTCGGATTCAAGAATACCTGCAACCAACACTTATTTGCAATTCTAATCTATTATGCGGTGCGTCCATACACAATTAATTCACATATATCATGCAAGTCCTAATTCGAATAGTGCACATAGACGAATTAATCTGGGCTCTGATACCAGTTGTTGGGTTCTATTAGGAATGTCGGCAATGTGCACATTCAAATCTATTGCATAATAAGTCCTAACGCAGCAGAATCTATAGTTAGGATTAGGACTTACGGTTTAAAAATTTTTGCTGACTCTGAGTCGTTTCTGATTTCTGTTGATGGAGATCGTCTGTCTACCACAACCCAATCGGTTGAAGGGTTTGGCCTTTGTCGACTCTAGTCGAGTGTTGGATCACGAACGGATCGTCTCGGACCTTTGGTATGTGAACCGGACTCCTTGGATCGCTCAGAAACCATCTTGTACTCAAACCGGGGCTGCCGGTTCGAGTTGGACTGCCTTGAAGCTCGCTGGTCGCGTCTGGACCGGCCTGGACTGCTTCTGGGCTGAGTTGAGACGTGCTGGGCCGCTTTCAATGTCGCTGGGCTCGCTGTAGAGCTGTTGGGCCGCGGATGTTCACGGAGTTGGTCCAAGGAGACGGGCTGGCAAGCTGGGCTGCTCGCGGGCTGGAACCGGGCCGCTCGCGGGCTCAGCTGTGACACAGACGCGGGCCTGGCGTGGGCTGAGCGGCCCGCGTGCTTTTTCCTTCTTCTGGCAAAATAAAAATCTTTCCGCTGAGAGTGAGTGTCGAATTCCCGACCTCAAGCAAGACCGAGCGCATGGAGAGGCGCCGTGCTATACGCCTGGGTTGTGCTCAAATAGATCGGCCGCGAAAATTATACACCATCTTGGACCTGGGAAAGGAGGTGGCGCGTCCGGGCACGTGAGAGGGACCTCCGGCGGCTGCCGACGGTGGCGGTGACTGGACGGAATTTTGGATCTTTAAGGTTTGATAAATATCACCTTAAAATCTTCTAATGGATTACCTAAACACCTACTTCAATTAATCTTGGTGGAGCGATTAATTGAATCTCCCTAACTCTCAAATATATGAAGAATACGATTTTCCTCTTCCTTATAGAAACCTTAAAATCGTGCCTCTCAAGTACATCTCAAGAGGTCGGGACATGGTGTATTTATAGGCTCCATTAGGAACCTTAAGGAGGTGCCAAATATGGGTTTATCCCATTAGGCTAAGGAATCCTAATTCTACTCCATAAGCTAATCCCAACTAGGTCATGATTCCTTTCTCCTAACATCACCTTCTAGAAGACTCTCAAGTCTCCTAACCCTAGGTAATATTCTAGAAGGAATATTCCCTATCTTATGGAATATTAAATATGGAATAAAATTAATTCATAAAATCCTAATAAAATTAAATAATAATATATCCCACTAGAATATTATTATTGCTCTCCCCATTTGGCTCCAATTTAATCAATTAAATCAAACCTCCACTTGATTAATATTTATTAATCTTATTGATCGATTTACCTCCCTATGTTTAAGATATAACGTCCGTTGATTAATTAAATTACTGACAAAATAATTAATCAACTTCTTATTCATTTCCGAAACTAGTACAACTCAGATCTTTAATCATTATGTCGGATACACATCCGCCTGCAGGGCTTGACATAATATTCCTTCTTGAGCTCATCTCGGGGACGTCATCAATCCAGCGCACTGGAACATAGTGACCGTAAATAATTTATAATAGCGCGTCATATAAACATCCTCATTTACCAAAGTACCGAGTACATCATCCTAACGGAATAGGAATCACCCTTGCTAAAACTTTTATTTGTTTATTTTTATTTATTTTTTATTATTATGTTTATGTATACTTAAGTCATGGGTCGTTTTTAATATATATATATATATATATATATATATATATATATATATATAAACGTATTTCAAAGATCACAGGGACCAGGACTACGACCCCAAGACTTGGGACATAAATGGCCAGTACCTGTATTTCAGTAGTCTGGAAGAGGAGTACAAGTGACCTCTGGAGGATGGACTCCTTACATCAGAGTACGAGAAGAGGGCGAGAGCCCTAATACTCTGTGTATTGGGTCCTTCTTCTTCCCGACCATCGGGCCAACGGAGTCAACCTCTACTGGTTGTCCCTGTTGAACGTCATCGATGCCATTTCGGGGTACAGCTAGGGTGGAGCGCTTCTGGCCAGGGTATATAGAGCGCTCTGCGACACCTACGAGAGGGACGAAAAATATATCAAGAGCTGCGTGCAGTTGATTCAGATAAATTTATTTACTTGTTAATTGCAAATCAATTTTATTTATTATAAATTACAATAATATGTGCTAAAAAATGTATATGTCCATATGTGCAGGTTTGGGCATGGGAACGCATCCCTCGTGTTCGCCCATTCATGAGAAAAACGCATTTCGGCTCTCAGGCTGCTTGTCCATTGGGTGCAAGGTAATAATAACCTTTATTTATATTCAACACTTAAGTTATTTCAATTATCAAATTTTGTATTACAAATAGTTTTTTTCTGTGATTTTTAAGGTGGGTGGGATCGAGGGACATGAGGCACCTGAGGACGGGCACGTCTACCATCCGAGATCAGCTGAGTGGCCTGAGAGAGACTGATCTAAGTTATTAGGTCATAATAATAAATAATTATTATTTTTTTATTAAATTCATTAATGATTCTATAAATGTTTTATTTTTACAGTTCGATTGGGTACCCTATCAGACGTACATAGACAAGGGTCGACTGTCGGACCAGTGTACACGAGACCGATAGGGTGCTCCGCCAGTTCCGGTGCCACCAGCCCATCCCCAGACGTCGATCATTACTAGTCTGGCCGACTGGGACACCCACCACAAAGGCCAGGGCATGACTGGGAGGGCATACACCGATTAGCAGGCCTTCCATGCTGATCTTGGGAGGATCTGGATCGAAGAGAGAGATCAGAACGTCCTCCCAAATGTCCCGGTGGATCCTTCAGCTGACAGAGGGGTACATTGATTGGTATCACAGTAGGACTGTGAGACTATTCAATGACCCTAACAACTACGCGGCGATCCCACAGGACGACGGGTTTCAGCCATATGCCGACCAGGAGAAGTGTCAGGTAAGTTTCTGCTAATTTGTGATTATTATTATTATTATTATTATTATTATTATTATTATTATTATTATTATTATTATTATTATTATTTTTAATATTTGATACTTATTTGAATTTTATTTTCAGAATTCGGGTACGGAGGGAGCGTATAACATGCTATCGAACATTGAAGACATTGATACGCTACCTCCCCGAGCGCAGTCACAGTTCCAGCAAGCCGAGGAACATCTGTACGCTTCTCTGACTGTTGGGGGTCAGTCGGTCACACATGGGGTGTCGTCGGAGCAAATTCTATCTCAAGAGGAGTACGCCCCACCCCAGCAGACACAGTCCCAGCGGGTGAGGCATAGACCGACGCCCCACATTGGTGGAGGGAGAAGACGCCGTGACCGCGAACCCGCCGGGAATGAAGAAGACGAAGAAGGTGAGATTTTTTTATTTAACTACAAATATATATTTTATTTTTGTTTGTTTTTATTTATTTGTCCGGTCGAATTACTGATTTTTTACAAAAATTAATTAATTAGGTGGAGAAGAAGAAGAAGAACCAGCCTCGCCTGGACCGACCGCAGGATCGTCTTCTTTGGTACCGGGACCTCGGAGAGGGTCCCGAAAACGCGTGCCTAAAAAAACATTTACTCCTAGTTAGTTTGTTTTTGTATTCTGTGATTTTGTGGACATTTTCTTTTTTTTTTTCTTTTCTTTTTGTACTGGATTTTCAAATATTTATTCTTGATGGTTTTGAGTACATATTTTGTGGTTCACTGTTTTTTTTGTCGGTAATTGTGGTTGTCTTTTTGTATATAGTGTTTCATGTATGTATGCATGCTATATTTTATCATTTGACGAATGAATTGATATTAAAGTGATATTATTTTGTGTTCAACATGTTAAATCAAAATTTATAAGAAACCTTCATATTGAAGGATAAGAATAAAAATTCAGCCAAAATAAACGCGATCGCTGGTAAACGAGTTCGTGAGCATCCAAGAGTCGAGCCTAACTTAAAAAAAAAAAATAAAAATAAAAAAATAAATACATAAATACATAAAAACGGATTCTTAGAATCCGTTTTTATAACAAATAAATAAATAAATAAACACGGATTATGAAAATCCGTGTGGATAAAACGGATTATCACAATAAATAAATAAACACGAATTATGAAAATCCGTGTGGGTAAAACGAATTATCACAATCCGTGTTAGTTAACACGGATTTTCATAACACGTTAGCTGAATTAATTAAGAGTAATCACGTCATTAAGGGAAGACGGATTCTCAAAATCCGTTTTTAGATCGGAATTTGAAACATGGATTCTCAGAATCCGACCGTTTTATTTTTTTTCCTCATTTTTTTATTTTTTATTTTTTGCCACATATTTTTTTTTAAATAAATAAATGATTCCGAGATGTTGTATATGCTTTATTTCCGAATCCCCTTTTGTCAACCACCACCTATTGGCTTATAAACGCACTAATCTAAACCCTAATCCGCGTATCGTCGTCTTCCCTTCGTACCTGATCTCATCAAATTCCCTCTCAATGGACGCTCTTCAATCCAACTACATGGATTCGCCATCTGAGCCCCAATCTCAACCATTGAATTCCTTTGACCACTATCCCGATCACGACAATCACCCTCACTCCGACTTCAAAACCCAACCTCATCCCAGTGCCCCTGAGAAAACCCTAGATTCGTCGGAAAACGAAGCCGCCGCTACCACCGCCGCCGACGTTTCTACCCTGACCCCAAAGCCCGATTTCCCCAAGCCGCTCCTGTCCGAGAACGGTCTAACAAACACGCACAGCGGAACCGACAAGGATTTCTCCGGCGGCGAAGAGGAAACCAGCAGCCGGAGGAGACGTCGTTCTAGGTGGGACCCACCGCCGAGTGAATCGACAAACGAGGGAGCCACAGGCTCTGGTGACGGTAATCTCGGGACCGGAGGTAGGAAGAGGAAGTCCAGATGGGCGGATGACGAGCCTAAGCCTGTGGTCCAGCTGCCCGAATTCATGAAAGAACTCACTGGAGGTATTGAGCTCGATCCGGAGATTCAAGCTTTGAACAGTAGATTGCTTGAGATCAGCCGCAAGTTGCAATCAGGCACAGCTTTGGATGATAGGCCCGAGGGAGCTCGGTCACCCTCTCCGGAACCGATTTATGATAACATGGGAGTTAGGATTAACACTAGGGAGTATCGTGCTAGAGAAAAATTAAATAGAGAGAGACAAGAGATAATATCACAGATTATTAAGAAAAACCCCGCCTTTAAGCCACCGGCAGATTACAGGCCGCCGAAGCTTCAAAAGAAGCTTTACATTCCAATGAAAGAGTATCCAGGTTACAATTTCATTGGTCTCATAATTGGTCCAAGAGGAAACACGCAGAAAAGGATGGAAAAGGAGACGGGAGCAAAGATTGTGATTCGAGGGAAAGGATCTATTAAAGAAGGCAGGCTGCAGCAGAAGAGGGATCTGAAGCACGATCCATCTGAGAATGAGGATCTGCACGTATTGGTGGAGGCAGATAATCAGGAATCACTCGATGCTGCTGCAGGTATGCTTGAGAAGCTCTTGCAACCTGTTGATGAGGTTCTCAATGAGCACAAAAGGCAACAGCTTAGGGAGCTTGCGGCACTAAATGGCACTATTAGAGACGAAGAGTATTGCAGGTTGTGTGGTGAGCCTGGGCATCGGCAGTTCGCATGTCCTTCCCGCTTGACGACGTTCAAGAGTGATGTCTTGTGTAAGATTTGTGGTGACGGTGGGCATCCTACCATAGACTGCCCCGTGAAGAACACCACAGGCAAGAAAATGGATGACGAGTACCAGAATTTCTTGGCTGAACTCGGTGGGACTCTTCCGGATTCTCTGACCAAGTCAAGCCCTGCAGCAGCTCTTCTTACCCATCCTGGTAGTTCAGGGAGTAATCCTCCCTGGGCAAACGGTACAAACACTTCTAACAACACCACTCAAGCCGGTTTGGGGTCGAATCCAATAAAACCCAAGGAATACGACGAGACCAACTTATACATCGGTTACCTGCCCCCTACCATGGAGGATGATGCCCTGATCAGCTTGTTCTCCCAGTTTGGTGAAATCGTGATGGCTAAGGTTATCAAGGACCGCATTTCCGGTCTCAGTAAGGGTTACGGGTTTGTGAAGTACGCTGACGTCCAGCAGGCTAATGCTGCCATTGCCAGCATGAACGGACACAAGCTAGATGGGAGGCCAATTGCTGTGAGAGTCGCAGGTAAACCTCCTCAGCCTCCAGTGCCTCCGGGCCCGCCAGCTCCTCCTGTGCCCACATACCCTGCCCCGAGCCAGCCCATTGGTGCGTACCCTTCCCAGCAGTACTATTCTGGTGGGCCCACTGGGGGCCCACCCTATAATGGGCCTCCGGTTCCATGGGGCCCACCTCCGCCTCCTCAGTATGCCGCCTATCCCCCACCCCCACCACCCCCAGGATCAATGCCTTATCCTCCACCACCACCTTCATACGGAATACAATATCCCCCACCTCCACCACCAGGTTCGTCTGGCGTGCCTACGCAAACTGTTTCATCTACTGATATACCCCAGCAGAATTATGCTTCTTCAGGGGAGACACAGCAAAGCTATATCTATGGCAGTTCGGTAACTACAATGCCACTACATGGTCAGGTTCCATATCCACCGCATCCTTATAGCTACCCACCTCAGTATGGTGCTGTACCTCCTCCTCCTCCTCCTCCTGCTGCTATGACTCAGTCCACTGTGGACCATACTCAGAGCTTGAGTAATGCACCCTGGGCCTCGAAGCCACTGGTGCCTCCGCCCCCGTTATCTGCTGAGAAGACGGACTCAGAATACGAGAAGTTCATGGCGGAAATGAAATGATGAAGTCATTCTGTGTAGTTGGCTTCTTGTGTCTGAGGTAAGCATTGGTCTGATATCCTTAAACACATTATTAAAATACTTTTCTATTCAATTTAAGCATGCTTTTGACCGTAAGTGTTTAACCTTCTTGCCTGTGCATATTTATAACTTATATCACCGTGTGCAAGGTAGCATAATTAATACTGTGGTCGATGCAAAAAATGCTGTTGATTACTGCCATTTTGGTTGGACCACAATACTTTCTAATTTAAAGAAAGTATTGCTGTTGACCCAAAAATCAGTAGTTCTCTTTATCGTGGTCAGATTGTGTGTTTTACAGGGAGGAGCTACTTTTTTTATGACTAAAATTGTGGAACATGATACAAGTTGCTGTATATATATGATGTTTGAGTTGTATTTTTAATTGTTGTTAATTAGGTTCATATCAGAAATTGAAAATCTGATAATAAAAATGTCGGCGCAAAACATATATGTAGCCTTCATTCTCAGGGTGAAATAAACATTGAATTCTTTGAGAAATACGTGCCCTAGAATGATGCAAAGATGGGATAAAACATTTGGTAACAATTGAAAATTTTGAAGTGAAGTACGGAAATAGCATTGTGCAGCTAGTTAATCTCATGAAGTAATGACTGTTATCCAGTCCTTTTTTTTTTTTCTCTTAACCAAGAGTTCACCTCAGCTCTTATAGAAAAATAGTTCAAGTGTTTTTTTGTCATTTGTATGCAATGAAAGAACGGTTTGGTTGCTAAGAAGAGTAAGTCCTGACCAGAAGATGGATGTTATTCAGCTGCATATTGGGAAAGATTATCTTATTGAAATTCTAGTCGGAGAAAAGATAGCTATCATTGCCTCATCTACGTTTTTTGTTAGCTGCAGATCATAGTTTTAAATGGCGAATGGCGAGGCGAGGCCATTCGCTCATAGCCTCGCCACGAGGCGAGGCGATTCGCCATGGCGAGGCCTCGCGAACACAAGCCATATAAGCTTAAAAATATATATATATAAATAGTAATATCATATATTTAAGTTTAAGTGCCAAAAATAATCTTAAATATCCTAAAAAAAATAACATAAATTAAATTTAGTTGTAATTACTAAAAGCATCTAAAACTTAAATGTGAATACTAGCAATAAGATAAATAAAAAGTGTAAAGTAAAAGAAAATGAAAGAAAAGATGGTACAGCCTTGACTATTGACAATACTAGTAAACATAAATAAAGTGGAAAAATAAAGAGAGAAGAAAAAGATTAGAACAGAGAAAAGGGAAAAAGAAAAGAAAGGAAAAGACACGCATCACCGACCGTCTTGGCGGCAGCGAGATGGTGGCCGGAGTTCAGAGGAGGCCGGAAATGGGATGGGTCGACCGTGGGTTTCTGCAATTTTCAAATCTGAGAAACCTAGGGAGTTCTTTCGCAGAAACCCTAGTTCTAGATTGGGGAGAAGCCATTTAGGGATTTTTCATAGAATTTTTTTTGCTTCGTGGGCCTGGGAGATGAAGTGAAGGAAGTGCTCGATCTATTTTAATTTATTCTCTTTCCAAAAACTTGCACGATTTTCTGTTTTTTTTTTTAAATGAACAGCGCCTTTAATTTCTCTGAAAGGCGCCGAGGCGCGCCTCACAGGCGCCTCTCGCCACTTGAAAAGGCGAGCCGAGGCGACCTGAAACGAGCTGGCGAGGCGATATGGCCCTCGCCTCGGTCGCCTCGCCTCGAGGCGTCGCCATTTTAAACTATGCTGCAGATAGCCAAATTCTGATTGAACTATCTCTGCCGTGTTCCCTACCCACTATGTTGGTGCTTTGTTCTCGTATAAGCCCATATTATTGTACAATGTATTATTGATTATGCATTTTCTCATTCGTAAGTAGCTTATTTAATGTCGTCGGCAAATCATAACACTTGTTTCTTTGTCGTTATTTAATATCTTTACAGGCTGTTTGTTGGAAGACTTGTGATCCTGATTTCTTATCTCTTGCCATGATTTTCTTGTTGGAAGTTTGGGACTCACATAACCTTGCTGTACTGTTGCATTTGCAGAGAGGCACTTAAAGTCCAGTTCTTCAGCTACTACTAATTTGTACTTCTGTTGATTATCCTTTTGTTGGACTACCTCTTTTGGGAGGTTATATCTGCTTTGAAGAATGTGATTTCTTGAATTATATTTATATTAATATCTATGAACTTTTTCTTTAGTTACTAACCATTGTGCTGACAACAATTACTGATGTGATTACATTTTGGTTGCTTCACTTTTAGTCCTTGTTGCAATGACTCTTGTGATTGTAGCACCTACTCTGAAATTGGGCTGATGACTACGTCTGATAATCTAAATGAAAGTGAGCCCGACTCGGATTATGAGACCACAGGTGGTACCTTTAATCTCAAGATATATATTTCATTAATATGTTATCTCATCTCTCGTCTTTTGTGGTGCCTTTTCCTAGCTAATGTATGGCAGGTGGTTTTTGCTGGGATAATTGTACGTGCTGTTGAAACTACTTAGAATGCTTTTTTCTTGCCTTTGAAATGTAGGTTTTATTTCAATAAGGGTAGTGGTTTATCATGTTACATTTTGGCACTAGTGATTGATTACACTATATCTGGGCTACTAAAGGGAGTTCTTTGAAAGGTGATTATCGGTTTGAGTCTTGAATGATAAAGTTTAATTTGTACCGCATGATGGTTTTGCATTTTGTTAACTAATTAATTTCAACAAAATTTGAGAAAGATTGAATTCCAACTACATATACGGTTGGTGTCTTCCCTTTATTTGCGAATTAATAACAGGTGTACAAATAATGGGATATGTGTCCTAGTTTGTGGGATAATTTATTTGTTTATTTTGTCATTCTGCATAAAAAGCCAGGGTAACAGTCACATTTAAAAGATGAAATTGTTTTCTGTGTTGTTCTCTAATCAATTTAGGTTGTGTTTACACTGAGCTCTTGCATTTGTCTTTTGAATATTTAAATTACCCTTGAAGCCTCAAATCATTTATTGAGATTTCAATCAGAGGTCTATTGTTTTCTGGGGTGTACAATTCTGTTATTGGTTATACCAAAGCTCTCCCACCCCCCCTCCCCCCTAACTTGGCATGATGTTATGTGATTATATTCTCCCCAAATTTTATGGTCATTAAACCTATAGATGATGTTCTTGCTTGGTCTGAAAATGTGGTCTTGGATGTCTTTTTGCATATCAATAATTTTTAGTTGTTGCGGGCTTCTCAAAGTATAGCATTCAGTATTGTTTATTTATTTTGGCTCTCACAAAAGGAAGAGATATTTTGTGAGTAAACTCAAGGGAATTATCAGTACCAAGAACAAAAACAATTGGGGGAAAAATTGAGTCTTATTTCATTATGAAAAGATTCGAGTACATGAGTAATTTCACTCTTATCCTTGAGTAAATACAACCATGTCATTCTTAATAATCAGCAAGAAGGATAAGGGTAAGGATATAAAAAAATCGCCCACGAGACTTGGTTCAAATAGGATTCAAAATGTCACAATGAACAAGATCAAAAGTAAATGCAATGTGATCACTAACCCAAGAATGAAAAGAGAAGATCAAAAGTAAATGTAATGTGATCACTAATCCGAGAATGAAAAGAGGAACGGTGATGTTTGCCTAACTCATAATATTCACATTGTAGCTGGGCAGACCGAATAGGAATCACTTTCTGTAAAGTAATGAACATGAAAATTTGATATATTTAAATATATCAGCACGGGTTTTGCCAGTTGGGGTTTCGGCCACGGTTTTCACAGTTCTTGGGATAGTGAATAAGCTTTTGACGGTTGTGATAAATTTGGTTATTTGGGATTAGCACTCGGCGGTTGTGGGGACTGTGGGGCTCCTCATCTGCATGGCAGGTGGAGTTATGTATCAGCAGTCGACGAGCGGTAAGCCGAAAGCTGTTACCAGTGAAGTTGTTAAGGTCGGGGAGAGTGATGAGGAAAAGCAGAAGATGCTCGAGTTGCAAATTGTAGGTTGCCAAAAAGGCGCTGAAGATGAAGAAGTCCAAGGAAAACCATAGTAGATGTATCTTT